ATCACAAATAATATGAGCCCCAACAATTGGCTTTTGTCTAACCATATTTGGTAGATCAAAATTTTGGCTAAAAATCAAATTTAGCCAGCAAATTCTATATAAGAATTTCTGAGGCTTGCAATATTTTGAGTAGAACGGGCAATTTTGAATATAGACAAAGTATGACAAAGGCAAAGGCAAAGACAAAGGCTTAAATGGAAACAAAAGGCGGGCAGTGAATTTGAACCGTCAACCGTATTGCCAACCTTTTTTCTTTGGGTTTTGTCGCCCAGAATTATAATAAAAAACTTCATAAAGTCTCGCTCACATAGTCTCGACATAGAATCAAGTTGCCTTCCCACTAGTTAATTTGCTAAACAAAAGCATTTTGAAAATACAAACAAACACAAAATTAGATTATATCATTGTCAAAATGATTTGCATGCACATTTTCATTTCATTTCACGCTACAGGGCACAGGGAAACCACACAGAGTAAAGCAAACAAAATACAAATTCTATTATTCGATTGTTCGGCATAAATAATGCGATTTTTTTGTTGTACGAATTTGTGGCTTTGGATGCCTCACATGGTTTTGTTGTAGTTGCTTTTGTAGTTGCTTTTTCACGCAGTAAGAGCAACAGCAACAGCAACAAGCAAGTAAGAGGTTCTAGTCGGGAGCTCCCGACCAGGGGATACGCTGAACCCTCTTATTCCAACACCAAATGCAGGTCGCGCTACGCGCTCTTTTGCTTAAGTAGTAATAAAGATAAATTAAAAAAAAACCCTTGGTGGGGTTCGAACTCCCAACTGACCACATGACTTGCTGCCGTCTCTACTCATCAGCCACACCAGCCAAAAAAAAAAACAAATAAAATAGTTTCCTCGGTAGGGTTTGAACTCGCAGCAGACCGCGCTACTTGTCGCCGCCTCTACCCAACATCCACACCAATTATTAATTTTTAATGAGAAAAAAACGAATTATGTAGCAGCACAGAAAACAATACAATCGCAATTGCAATGCTGTTGATAGAATTCAAAGCAGACGCGCATGAATGTATGTGTGTACACGTATATAGAAATGCTTGCAATTTGCGCTTGCTTCTGCTAACACGTGCGCAGTCAAAACACATCACTTTTGTGTGTTTCTTAACCGGTATTATCTACAATTTATCTTATTGTACCATAGATTATTTGTGTATTCTTAAAAAGTCAATTGCATTTAAATTGAGGCTTGTATTGATGGGCAATGCAAGTTGGATTATAACCTTGATTTTTAGTTTTGTTGTGGTAGAGGGGAGGTGGCGATAGCTATAAAATGAAAGATAAGTACTAACTCTTATAGGTTCTGAAATCCTTGCGTTTTTTGCATACGGGCTGACGGACGGATAGACAGGCAGACGGACATGGCTAGATCGACTCGGCTATTGATGCTGATTAAGAATATATGTACCTCTTGCTTTTTAGATACATTTGCACAAATGTATCATACCCTTTTTACCTATTTTCAATGGGTTCAGGGTATAAAAATGCCAAATTATGTAGTGTGCGCCTACTTGATGTTTTATACTAAATGTATTATATATATATATATATTATATATATATCATACATCAAGTAAGCGCACACTATATAATTTGGCATTTTTATATATTTAAATACTAGACACTATGTTAATACATAGATTATCAAGCGGCCAGATCGTAAAGCGCGCCACAGTAGCCACAATTGTATTTCACCTTGCAATCTTATCAGGGACTCTGAATAGTTGTTGCGGCTGATGTTGTTGTTGTTATTTCTTTGGGTGCTGTAACACTCGCCGGGTTATACATAGAGCAAAGCTATTGTAAGCTCATTTAAATGACTTTGGGCAGGGCTCTACGCCTAGTATGACATTAATCAGATCTTGAGAACTTGACTAAACGCATTCGACTTTTTTTGCACCTTTAATCTCTATAAGATTTGAAGCTTGAGTACTATATCGTTTTCACATATTATTATTATTATTTTTAATTTTTTTTTTTTTTTAATTCCAAACAAACGGTTTCCTAATATTTACGTAAGATCTAAAGCAGCTTTCGCAATTTATTTTATTTAAGCATTTTTTTCCACTATAAATCTTAGAGCAATTATTTTACTTAACAGCTTTGCGCAACTGAAGTTTAATTTTTTTTAAATTAATTTTCAGCTATACTTGACAATAAATTTTTATTAATATTTAAGGCAACTTTGGCTTTCGTTTGATTATAAAATGAAAGCTTGAAATGTTAACCGTCAACTAAACTAATGAAAACCAACTTTAATCACTTTAACTTAAATTCAAGTTTCTCTAAATATTTTTTAGTTAATCTTTTAGTCAATTAGTTAAATTTCTGGCAAAACATTTAATTTTGCTTTCAATTGTTTTACTAACTATTTTTTCAACTTGAACTCCAAACGCGTGTCATTACAGCATAATGACAAGTTTTTCTTCTTCTTATATCTAACAGACATGCTAGAGCCTTCCATTTCGTGTGCGTGTAACAGAGATGGCAATAGGCACCCGCTCAAAGCTATGCTTATATGTGCGTTCCTGTCTTTTTTGAAAGATAGGAACGCACCTCGCATAATTATGTTATGTTTACGTTTTAATCACATGTGAAAAACACACACACATACGCACACAGAAGTACGCACGCACACATGAATATTTATATGATTTTCAAGGCTGCTGAAGATTTTGGCGCGTGTTGTGTGCTTAGTGATAAAACAGTGTGTGTGTGTGTGTGTGTGTGTGTGTGTGTGTGTGTGTGTGTATGTGTGTGTATGTGTGTACGTGCGTGTGTGTGTTCGGGAAGCTCGTTTATCTAATCGCCAAACAGTTTTCAATGCGTGTTAAAGTACGTGTTGCACATGTGTAAACAATAATTGGGGGACTCTCAGCTGCTGCTGCTGGGTTGGGATGGCAACGCGGCGTATGCGTGATTTATAACTTCGTGCGGAGAAATTTGCTTGGCATGCAAAGCCAGCAGCAGCAGCAGCGGCGATTGGCTGGTTATTATCGACCAATTGACGTTTCAGATCACGTGCCCAAACAGCCAGCAGCTATGATGCCAAATAGAGCTCCACATACACACATCCGTGGTGTCCTTCACAGAGTCAACAAACTTGTGATCACATATATTATAAATGTATATATATTTATATATATATATATATATATATACTTTTCGAGTGGGCTGTTCAAAGTTGAGGAAATGCGTTGGCTGCACTTCGCACAGTCACAATTCATCAGGCGTTAAATTGCCTGAGAGCAAAACTCTACAAATTGTCTGTGCAAATAGGAAGCATGCAACACAAACAGATAACAAACTGCTGTGCATCTACCAAAGACTTGAGCTACACATATTTGCACTAGCTGCCAGTAAATATTTGCTTGTGTGCGTGTGTTAGCTAATTAAATATTTGCCTCAAACTTGTCTCTAGTTGAACTTAGCTCTGGAACAGTTGGCCAGTTAATAATAAAAAACAATGTTCAACTATAGTTCGGATCAGCATTTAAATCGGATCCATGACTTACCACGTGTCTTGCACGAAACAGGTTAACAGCTTGGCCAGCTCTAGCCCAACCTGACCCGCCCCCTGGCCGCTACTCTAAGCAGCGCTTGGCAACGACGACAGCCACGCCTCTGCCTCAGCTCTCAGCTCTCTTGATGAGCCTAAATGCGGAAGTCACAAAATTTATTTATAATAATTATGCTGATAATGAGTAATAGTCGGCTTTTTTGTAATTCCAGCCAGCAGGCAACAGGCCAGCACACGCCCCTTGTGGGCGCTACAGCTTTGTTGTGTTGTCGTGCGTACAAATATTTTGTGAATAACTTTGCACATACTTTGTGGCCAACAGCACGACGCGCAGATACCCAGTGTGCCGACTGAAAAAATTCACATCCGATTTGACTTCAAATATACATAGTATATAATATAAATACACTCAAAAAAATTGTTGCTTTTAATTCTAGAAAATTGTCATAATGTAAAAACTGTGAACAAAATTGTTCTTTTCATTATATGACAATTGCTTTAAATTAAGTTAAACATTTTTGAGTGTAGATTTAAGGCTGCGAACCGGGTTTGAGCCCAAACCCGAACCGTAAAAAAACTTAAGGGCTTAAGAACAGCCAAACCTAAAACTGAATCAAACCAGATGCTGGTTCAAAACAATTTCTTTTATTTATTTTGTATAAGTTTTAAGCTCTTGACGTATTTTTAATAATAATTGACCGTGAACCGAACCACTGAAACCGTTCGCTGGGTATGCTGCAAATAATAGACTCTGAAGCTGGGTATTTAAGAGCACAAACAAAATATTATGAATATATAACAAAATAAAAAAAGCACGTGGCGAGCAACGATTGCGACCGGCTGATAAGGCCATAAACACACACTGTCTTATCAGCTCACAAATTAGCAACGTAAATTGACGTCAGCTTTATTTACTACAGCTTAAAAGAAAACGAAATAAATATTTCGATTTAGTTATTCACATGCGGAATCTCTGCACAGACAGTCTGTGATTAATTCACATCAAAATGAACTAGTTCACGAGCGAAACAGAGCGCGGTAAATGAAAATCGTTTTAGATTAAGTTAAAATTAATTTATGGCATATGCTTAAATGCTTGAACATTCTAGCTAACGCTAAGTGAACTAGTTCATAAATGAACTTAAACGATCAGGCATAATTTACGGCGAGCTCATGCACATTCATTCACACGTGAATGTTTTAGCTAAGAGAACTAGTTCAATGGACCAAAAACGGTAAATTCATAGAGTAAAGTTATCTAGAGCCGTAGCTCATGAGCAAACAAGTAGATAAAAGGGAACATACTTAAAGCTAATAGTACTAGTTCATGAGTTAAATTAGTTCAAGTTGGAACTAGATCATGAGTGAACCACAGAACCAGTTCCATTATTTATACAAAACTAAAAAAAAATTTAAATATTAACCAATTTGGTTATTTTCTCTTTTGTTCTTTTTAGAGAAATATCTGGGCCAACACAATCCTGGACATCGCAACAGCACAAGCAGCGAGGCGACCAGCGAGGACATCAACTCGAGCGACGAGCACCTGAACCTGAAGTCTAAATGCCGGCCGGCCAACAACAGTCATCCACTTGGCGGCAACAATGGCAATGTCAATGTGAATTGCAACAATGGAGCCGCCGGCTGTGGCAGCAAGTCGCGTTCCAAACGGCAGCAGAAGGCGCAGGCTATGAAGCAGGCATTGACCAGACAGACGGGACAGGCGCAGGCGCAGTCACAGGGGCAGGCCATACTGGAGCAGTGTGGCAAGTCGAATGGCAAGTGCAAGCAGGGCAAGTGGCGCAACAACAACAACAACAACAACAGCAGCAGCAGCAGCACCAACAACTGCAATCAGAAGCGAGGCAACAACAATGGCAAAGCCAAGCAAAGCAAATGCAACAGCAGCAACAACAAGCCGCACAATGGCCACAACATCAACAACAACAACCACAACAGCAACGACAACAACTGCAACAACAGCAACAACAACTGCAACAACAGCAACATTTTAAGCAACACGAAATGCGGCGCCAACAGCTCGAACTCCTCATCGGCGCTCAGCTCGCCGGGCAGCTCGCCAAACGGCAGCAGCTGCAGCAGCATACGCAGCAGCAGCGGCAACAGCAGCGGCAGTGGCAGCATCGGCAAGCATGCCCCAAACTCGGTCGTCGGGTGGCAGCGCGAGGAGCGGCAGCTACACAAGGCGCAGCGGCAGAATGTTAACTTTCTGGTGCCGCCGCTGCGGCAATACGAACGCCTGGACATCGACGACGGGGCGCTGCTGCGTCAGCTGCGTCGCTACCTAATCGATCAGAATCTGCTGCGCGTCTACGGCTTTCCGGTGGCCAGCGTAGTGCACGATGGCGCCATTGAGATCTTCAAGTGCTTGCCGCACATGAGCTTTGCCGCCGCCCATGTGATGGCCGTCACGGAGACGGCTCTAACGGTAATCAATTGCCATGACGGACTTACACTGAACCCCGGCAATTTCGAGGAACCGAACATTGAGGCCACCGAGCAGCCACCTGGCGACGGCAGCAGCAGTAGCAGCAGCGACAGCAGCGACAGTCCAACGGCAACATCCACAGACTCGGGCAACATTTCGCCACGCTCACTGGACTCCGAGTCGGGCGGGGAGTGGAGCGGCAGCGAGTGCGAGTCGGCGCCAAGCGCTGAAAGCGGCTACGGCCTGGAGCTTTATTGCAATTATGCGCTCGTCGAGCGCAGCCTGGCCAAGCAGTGCGTCCGCTGCAAGCGGGACTTCCTGGTCGACGAGCTAAGCGGCCAGTACTTGACGCGCGAGGGATGCAGCTATCATTGGGGCAAATATCATCGCTGTTATGATGGCAGCGCCTGGATAAGCCGCTGGACCTGCTGCAATGCCAGCGAGGAGTCGGCGCTTGGCTGCACACGGCACGAACTGCACGTGTGGACGGGTTCGGTGGTGGGCGTGAATGGACCCTATCACGATTTTGTCCATACACGACCGCGTGCTGCATTATCGGCGCGCAGCCGGGAGCCGCCCGCCGTCTATGCGCTCGACTGCGAGATGAGCTATACGGGCCGTGGCCTGGATGTGACCAAGGTCTCGCTGGTGGCGCTTAACGGTCAGCTGGTGTACGAGCACTATGTTCGACCCGATGCCGATATTGTTGATTACAATACACGCTATTCGGGCGTTACCGCCAAGGATCTCAAGTCGAGCGGCGTTAAGACGCTCGCCGAGGTGCAGCGCGATCTGCTGGAGCTGATCGATGCCGAGACCATACTGATTGGACACGGCCTAGACAATGATTTGCGTGCTCTGCGTATTGTCCACAATACGCTGATCGACACATCCATCGCGTTCCCGCACACAAGCGGCTTCCCCTATCGCCGTGCCCTACGACATCTGACCAAAACGCATCTGAATCGGGAGATCCAGTGCGGCGATGGCGCCACCGGGCACAGCAGCTTCGAGGATTCGCGGGCCTGCATGGAGCTAATGTTGTGGCGTGTTCGGCGCGAACTCAATGCAAATGCCACAAGCTGGGATGATTAGAGGGCGGCGGGTTCAACCCTTCTTGCTCGTATTATCCTAACAGAACTGTGGGCGGGGCCACCAAGTACTTTTTAGTCTGTAAGACGTTGCTAGTTATAGTTCATTTTTGGGGCGTACCCGCACTGGTCGCCTCTTGTATTTAATCTCAGCCTATGTTTGTTTTGTCCTCCTGCGGCCCGCACTCTCACCCCTCACCCCGCACCCCGCACCCCAAACACCTCCCTCATTCACCATCCCCCAACCTCAGCGTCATTTCAAGAACCGCCAACAACACAACGACAAATGAGCATATGGCCATGGCGTTGCAATCTGGCGATGTGTGTTTGTGTGTGTATATGTGTGTGCGCATGTGCGTGTGCGTGCGTGTGCGTGTGCGTACGTGTTCGTGCGGCAGCGGAGCGCAATGCGAACTGAAAAAGAAACCCAAAACAACAAAAAAAAAACAAAATAACTAAAAAAAATTAACAAAAAAACAAACAACAACAATATGACAAAATGTCGTTTATATAGAGCGAAGCCTATTTTTAGTTATACGATATATATAATTACATACATACAAATACACACATATATATGTATATGTATATGAATTATACATACACACATACATCCATACATATATATCTATATATATATATACACATATATCTTTGTATATATATGTATATATTTATATATACGCACAACTATAAATTGTAAGCATATATTTATAAAGAAATTATATACACATTTTGTTCTTTTTTTTTTGTTTTTTTTTCTAATTAATTAATTAATTTTGTTTTCGAAGTAACCACAAGAAAAATGTACTGAAGTTTTAGCTGTGATGTTTTTTTCACTTTCTCACATATTTACAACAACAACAAAAACAAAAAACAAAAGAAAACGAAAAACACAAAAAAAATACACATAGGAAAATATATATATATATATATATGCACATATGTATATATGGAAATATACTGTTAACACTGCGCGAAAAACCTATCAAATTTAATTCGATAATTATTTGCTTGAAAAAAAATCACTCCATTTTATTTAGTTTTTTTTCTTCGATGTTTTATTTTTTTTTTTTTGTATCACGAATGAAGCATCTCATATAAAAAGTGAGGTTAAGTTGAATAACTTTTTACACACCTCAACATAAATTTAAGCTTAGGTTTTCTATTGAGTAATTGTTTTTTTTTTTTTGTCGCCTAGTTTTTAGCACACATTTGACGAATTCATGCCAATTAGCTGTATGGAACTTAAGTTCTGTATTATTCAGATACATGCAAAAAGTTCATTGAAAATTTCTTCAAGTGTATAATTTTTACATTGAACAGCATCGCATTCAACACCAACAACTACAACAATAATATTAATAACAATTAGTGTAAACATTTAAAATTTAAGAAATTCTAATGTTTATAACTAGAATTATTACGAATATTGTAATATTACTTCTGCATATATATCAATATATATATATATGTTTTTTTTTGCTAGTTTTTACTATTGTAATAATAGAACGATTGTTTCCAAGGCAAATGCTGAGAGACGCGCTTCTCCTTTTGCACAACAAAAACAACAACAACAACACAAAAAACAACAACAACAAACACGTAGAATTTATGTTCCTAGCAGCAACTAGCGCAAAGATACGAATGCAAATCGAGCAGCATGAGAAGAGGAAAATAAAGCAAATGTATATTTTATTGAGAATCAAAATGCAGCAAATGCGGTTGTTGATTGACAAGAAAAAACAAACAAAACAAAAAAAAACTATATGAAAAAAATGAAATACGATGCGGAAAATAAAAGAAACATTCAATTGTTTTCAAACGAAATTTACAGAAAAAAACAACAATATTTTCTTTTTATTTGACGGGTGGGCGGGAATATCACTTATGTATATATGGATATACATATATATGGATGTATAGATATGTAGACATATGGATGCATAGTTACATAGTTACATAGAATAGATAGATAGATAGATAGATAGATATATAGATAGATAGATAGATAGATAGATAGATATATAGATAGATATATAGATAGATATATAGATACATAAATGTTGATACATAAATGTTGTGAATTATAGAAGAGTTTGCAATGGTCTTGCATTTCTTTGAATACCCTGTGATCAGCATAACACAGCTTAGCCGTAAAAGATATATGCTATACCCCTTTGCTCCTTTAATATAAGCTATGATAATCTATGCATAGCCCGCATAATTTTAAAACGATCGACTCTTAATGATATTTTTTAGTTATTCAGGATAAATCCGATTTTTTTTAGCTTAGAAAAATAAATATAAACATAGATATCTTTATTAATAACATATATTTTGAATGCTTCACTTAAGTCGTCACTGATAAAAATCCTACACAACTAATTTTATATTATAAAGAGTATCTAACAGTCGATAAATTGCAGCCAGCTTATTCTAAGCCTTTAAAAAAAATGAAAGAAAATTATAAAGCGTTGCTCAAAAAAGATTAGTTACACATGAAGATAATGCAAATTGAAGATTAATCCGAAAATCAACTGCAGCTGTTACATGACCCTGTTCATGTCACCTTCATATCCACACAATGCCTCCGTTGGCCATCTGGGCCGCTCGTTTTGGGGTCAATGCAAGTTGAAAGTACACCAAAGAGAAGCACTTCCAAAAAATACAAAAACTACAAAACACACATTTGTTACCCTGTAATGCCAGTTGGGGGTATATGGCTTACTTGGCTACGGCAGCTGGTGCCTCATATCGGACGCTGTGTGCACAGCTGAGTGCGTGCGTCGCGTGCGTACCGTTAATTATTTGCACAACTAAGTAAGTAGGATGTATTAATCATATTTAGCAACTGCGATCTATGCTACATCGATATTTGCCACACCGAAGGTAAGGTGCTCTTCTAGATATATGCCCTAGAAGTTTGTTCCTGTAGAAATTGTTCCTGTTAGAATTATTCCTGTAAGAGAAAGGAATAACTGTCTTTTCTGCACCGAAGATTACCACACCCTTATATGTTAATTCCTTAGAAGCTTGTACGAATTGACCGATTATTGCTGTAGGAATTGTTCCTGTATGTGCAAGAAACAACTAGCTTT